CTCTCAGGCTGTGGTATGAAATACTTGCCACTGTTTAGTAAGAGGGACAAAGATATGCTGAGGGATCAAGAGCCTTTGATGTGGTGGTTTATGTGGTTAGGTCCTGTGATGTTGCTTGTACAGATGTGTGGACAGAATTGGCACCGGGGTTGATTGCAGGGCTGGGTTCCTGGATGAGTATGACGGAGGTGTGCTGTGTGGTTGCTGGAAATAATTTATTTGAGGTTACGTGATTGTCTTTAGGTGAGGACTGGCCTATCCCCCAGGGCCAGTGAGAGCGAGGGGGTCATTTTCCAGGATAGGCTGTAGATTGCTGATAATGCATTAAAGCAGTTTATCAAGTCTGGTGCCAACTCTGTCCACACATCTATACAAGCAACGTCATCACAGGACTTTTAAACTGTAGATGACACTGTGAAGTACTCAAGGTGGAATTATATCAACAACTGTCTCTTCCCATAGGTTTTTGTGCTGCTTCTTGGTCCCTCAGCATATCTTTGTTCCTCTTATTAAACAGTAGCAACTGTCTCTTCCCATAGGTAAAACTTCTAGCACTATATAGAATCCTTACACTCTTTTCCTAGATATTACAGGCTAGATACCTCTGCTGATGAACTGTTTTATCATCTTCAGAGACCAAATATCCTTAATACTTTCAGAGCTGTGGCATCTTCCTGAACCTCTTTCCACTCTTCTTCTAGGTAGAAGAGACTGCTCTTCAAAACCTACCAGTTTACACTGGTGACAGACATGGCTTCAGAAAGATGATTTTAAAAGAATACCTTAGAAAAGTATAGGTGGTATCTTTACATCCTCTGTTTACCTATCTGTAATGTCTCAGCCAAAGATTCTGCCACAACTCCGTATCCATCCTTCCAGTTAATCGTCTTGTTATTTTTGAGGTTTTTTCCTTCTCCTATTCTAAGTACAATATATATTAATCTGAAAAAGTGATACAGAAACGTTTGGGGCAGAGGGACAATGAACCTATAGCAAAAAGGCAGTGGTTAGATTTGTTGCTGTTATCTATGTGAGGGAAAGAAACCGAGCCATCAGTCTGTATAGAGACTCTCTGAGGTTGCAGAAAAATTTTGTCTGAAAAAATGTCTGAAACAGTTTAACATATTCCCACAACCATTTACCCAGACAAAACACAGTTATTACTGAAAACAGAGTGGTCCTTAAAATTAATTTTACCATCCTACCGTGGCGAATTGAACCCGCTGTCTACAGTAATGCTGCTGCTGTCCATACTGTCCAGTCGAGCTGAATGGGTGGCTCTCTGGTTGCTGCTGTTTTCAGTTTCCTTTGGGGTGAGAAGAGTGAGATTCTTCTCAAACTTTCTTTGCAGATCCCTTTCCTTTTCCCGCTCGAGCAGCCACTGCATAGTGCCCACATCATCCCTGTTTTTTTCTTCCTCAGCATTTTTGTTTGTTCCTTCCTCTGAGTCATCATCATCGGAAACATTGTAATAATCAAAGGTGGCTTCCTGGTTCCCAACTGACTCTTGCTGTCTCTGTGAAACGGGTAAAACTTGTGGAGCTGAGGTTACTATAGTTTGTTCAAATTTCTCACATCGGATTGGCAGTGTGTCAGAGGCTGTCTTTTGATGGGGTTTGAGTAGGGGCACACTGGACTTGTGATAACTATTCACAGAGAGTGTATTGTGCAGGGGTTTAAAAAGTGTATCTTTGCTAAATATTTCTTTCCTTTTGTCCAGACTGCTTGATTCAGCGTTATGATGCTGAACCAGCCGCCCATTTGCAATCACCTCAGGGGTCTGGCCAGCAACAACTGGACCCCCACTTGGACCTTTAGGGGACTCCTCTTTGTGCACTGCAGGTTCTCTGGCTATGTGTTGGGGTTGTCTTTCTGAGGGAGAAAGTTTTTTGATTCCATCTGTTAAAGTCACTGTGTCATGGTCCTCTTTATTTTTCCCTAGTGGTGATGGAGCAGTAAGTACAGTCTCACTCGAAGTGTTGCATTGAAAATAATCATCAATTGCTGATTTTGTTGTGCAGGAGTTGAGATCACTATAAGATGGTAAATTCTCTGTAGGCTTGCTTTGTTCCAATAGGCCACAGGAACTGGCACTTTCTACATTGCCACTAACTATTTCAGATACACACGCATCTTTATAATTTGCAGATGAAATCAGAGCCCTTTGATGACTGAGTGATTGTGAAGGCCTTAAGGTACTGTCATCAATATATGCTTGGCTAGTTGTTTGGTCACTTGGGCTACAGCCTTCAGCTACGTCTTCAGGTGTACCTAAAGTAGCAGCACCTAGAGGTCCTTTAGAGTTATCCATCGATCTAGATCTTTCCTTGGCTTTGTTAGACCTTTCATTCCTTGACCTTCTATCTTGTGTATGGCTGTGGCTTCGATGGACTTTGGAATGGGAGCTTCCCCTTGAAGGTTCAGGAAAAGGCATCTCAGTTCTTCTTTTGGCCAGTTCACCAGATACATCCCATTCTGGTGTCATGGGAAAGTGAGACTCAATCACGCTAGGATTGCTGTGCATGATAAAATTATCTCCTTTGTGCTCTATTATGAAACAGCCTTCCCGAGGGGATCTAGTAAGGGGATCATAGAACTCATACTCTCTTTCACCTGGTATATCCAAATGGGAACCATCTGAAGGGTCTCCTTTGGACACCCGGGTCTTGCTATGTGACCGAGATTTCCCATGAGACTTTCTGTGATTCCTACTCTTTTTGCTTCGCCCACTATGGTGAGCTGAAGAACCAGCTTTGCTTCTTTGAGCTTTTTCTTCTTCAAGTTTCTTCATTAGTGCAGTATGCCTCATTACATTTTCCACAGTCAAGTCTGGGTTAATGCGCTTAATAATCTCCATTTCTACCTCCCTAGGTATAGTGGTAGGGGTGTCTTCATCCCTCAGGGGCCATTCCTCAGGAGGAAACTGAGCAGAGAAATTGGCCAACTGTTTTGCCTTGTCCTTTTTAAAGCTTAACCGAAACAATTTCAGTCCAAATTTTTTAGATTGCTTTTCTACATCTTTAGGCTTTGAGAGTGTCTCTGCTTTATAAGAAAAATTTACAGTACTTTTACTTTTTTCAGTGGGTGGTACCTGACATAGAGAAGGAGGGCAATACGAGTCTTTGCAGTCTTTTGCTGATTTTCTCTGTAGGGTGGACGCATGCATGCTATGCATGTCTTCTCTGCAACAATGGCAAGAGTCGCAGTGGTTTTTGGGTAAAGTTCGATCTCTGACGCAGCCTGAGGTGGAGGGAGTTATAGTTCCTTGTTGTGGAGAGGTACACTGAGACCTGTCAGGTATCCTCTCATCCAAATGGTACCATTTGCTGTTAGTTCTTATCAGGGATGGGGTTATAAAATAAGTCTGTGGGGTCACGATGAAATAGCCATCTGGAGTTGGATATATTTTCCTCTCTCGCACAAGCATATTCAAGGTATGCCGAAGAATTTCAGGGCTGGGTGTTGGCACGCCTAAAACAACAGTAAATATATATGAGCTACTGTGTCATTATGAAAAGTTCTTTGGCTCCCTCCCACCATCCTAGAGTTTTGCCAACAGAAAAGTTAGTGCATGCCGATCAAACAATTCAAACCAAGCACATTGATAGGCATTTTCTAGTCTGCTTGTATTTCCACTTATTTCCTACGCTTCAATTACATGAATTATTAACTAAATAAAAAAGAGGACATTGACAGAGTGTAAAAAACCTTCTAGTTACTTTCATTGTGTAGGTGACTATAAAATAGAACCTCTACAAAAAAAAAAAAAAAAAAAGACTCAAAGGAAGATTTAATGTTTGTTGTTATTCTAGTAAAGTATTTAATCCCAATTCATCAATATTTATGTACAGTAAAACCTGTGTTATCCAGCATGCTCGGGGATTAGGGCATTCCCGTTATCTAAAAATTCCGGTTATCTAAGAGTCTCATCAACCTAGGAAAAACCAATGGACAATAATAAAACTCAAGTTTTTAATATTGATAGTTTTGTAGTGTGAGGCAGCTGGTCTCACATTTCTGTTTTGAGTTAAAGATGATTATTACTTCTTAAATAAAAAACTGCTAAGCCAATCATGGAAAACCAAGCCAGGCCTGTGCACCTGAAGATGTGACAGTATTGTGGCTGGGGGCGATGCCAGTTAAAGTTTTCTGGTTAACAGAGCGCCGGATAACAAAGGTTTCACTGTATTATGATTTTCAGCATTGTATAAATAGGCACCCATATATTTTGCTCACACCTCCAACACAACCCAATAGGTTTGACTTTCCCATCAAAACATTCATGAATAAACAATTACCCCCATCAGGCTCCAAACTCCTGAGCCTCTCCAAGAAAATCACATGAATCTATTGTATTCAAACAACTGTGTTGACTATGTTCAATGGTGCTATTTATCTATCTTCTAAGAACTTCCCAACAAGTTTAAGTGGGGGTGTGATGGGCACATTCCTGAGTGCAGATATCAAATACAGGCAAAGGGGCTCCCTTAATATTTACTATGTAAGGGTCACGTAAGTAATTTTGAGGACTGGGCCTCAGGAGCTTGATCATGCACATACTAAAATTAACCTAAAAACTCCACTGACTTCAGTGGTGCTGGATCGAATCCTTAACACTTCATTCAGCACCAAATCAGATACTTGCTGCTGCGGAGTGGATAGGAATGGATTGGTTTATAAAAGTATCATATAGGACAAACAACTTTCCACATTCACACTAAGGGTATGTCTAGACTGAACCCCTCTGCCTGCAGAGGGATGCAGATTAGGTGGGGCGAAATTGCTAATGAAGCAGGGATTTAAATATCCTGCGCTTCATTAGCATAAAATGGCTGCCGCTTTTTGCCGGCACGGAACTTTGTTTTACGAGGCATAAGGGATCTATCAGAAAAGGCTTTCTTTAGCCATAGATCAGCCTCTAGACTGCCACTTTTCTCCGACAAAGCTCTGTGTCGGAAAAAAGCAGTGGCCATTTTTATGCTAATGAAGTGTGGGATATTTAAATCCCCGCTTCATTAGTAATTTCACCCAGCCTAATCTGCATCCCTCTGCTGGCATAGGGGTGCAGTCTAGACATACCCTAATAGCTAAGGTGCTCTCTTCTCTGTCCTACTGCATGTGATACCAACTCCACACCCATGTTTCAGGGGTCAGTTTGCAGTTTCACTTTGCTACTTGTATTTGAATGCAGTAGGACGACAACATAGGACCAGCAAAGTGAACAGTATGATGTCTAAGTGTTGGTGTGATGTTATGACAACAGACTTCAAATACTGGCAAAATGAGGAATGCTAAGAAATGAGTGCCAACATTTCTTTATTCCTCATTAGTTTTGTCTGTATTAAAGGACCAGTGGGAGCAGTCAGCTCTCCAGAATGAGGAGAACAGAGTAGAACAGAACCTTTTGGCACTCAACAACTAAAGATTATCTTTTAAAAAAAATTAAAGATGGAATGAGATGTAGGGCTTTTTGAAGGTCTGACTGCTTAAATACACAAAACAACAAAAAAACCTCAACTTCCCCCAGTTACCATAACAAAACCCTTTTGGGTTGCATTTTTTCTTGTGGCCTTTTCAGTCAACATTTTAGTGAAAGGCAATTTTGAAATTTCGTTGTGAAATGTCATTATCCCTTTTCTTTACAGTCAAAAGCTCTTACATAATATGCATGTTCTTAATAAGAGCTTCTAGAATGCATTTTACAGAAGAGTACAAAGTAAAGCATTTTTCTCTTTTCCATACGTGAAGAACATTTCAATGACAAAGCTAAGCTATTGCTGTCCAAGTTTTATTAGAGTGGATTCTAAGGTACAGGAGCGTTTCACTATTTTAGCAATTGCAGTTGTATGTTTTTGCATACACACAGCCCTCAGCTCTTCTGAAATTTTGACATGAGCCAACAATAGCCAAGATATTGACAATTCATGTTAATCATTATTCCTTACTCACCCCATTTGGAGGTACTGTATTGCAGTATGAATAACTACTGCTCTCTTATCTGGCTTTGGATGGTACTTGTATTTAGAGATGTCTTTACTAGGCAAGTTATCAGGAATATTTGTCAGGAAAGGCTTGCTCATAATGGACATATTAAGAGGCTGAATAGGAACAACATGGATACAAAAGTGAGAGCAGCTGCAAAAGAAGTGGGAAGAGAGGACTACTAAGGGCTTGTCTACAGTAGTGCTTAAGTTGCTCAGGGATGTGAAAAAGGCACCCCCAAATAACCTAATGTGTGTGACCCAAATTCTGGGTCACATAAATGTCATGCAATAATCATAGAAGTAAGGTAAGAGAATTTGATTTCCCCCTCTCCCTTTCCAGCTAGAGTACCCTGGCTGCAGGAGATCACCCTGGAAGTAGTAGCAGAGACTGACAACCCTGGATGGGACAGGACACACAAACACCAGCAACAAATGGGAATGTGTACTGGTAGATAGACAAAAGCTTAGCACATACACAAAGAGCCCAGAGCTTTGTCTTATCTCCCTTGGCCAATACAAAGTCACATTACACAAACTCCCTTTCTGGACTTCAAGCATCTACAATTAAATAACTTCAAAATTATACCCCCAGCTTGAGCAGGCTCTTAGCACAAGATAAAAGAGCCAAGAATGAATACGGTGCAGACAAAGCCTGATAAGTATTTCCTGTTTATCTTTGGTTCATAGTATTAAAGTGCACCTAGGTGCTTACTTGGCTAATGCTGCCCCTTCCTCCTCTGTCCTTAGCTTTGTTAACAGTGGCAGTGAACCAGAAAGCCAGATTCTCTCAGCTTTTTGGGGGGGTCTATGTACACGATGCACTGCACAGTTCACTCCCATTGAAGTGCAAGGGTAGTGGGGCAAAAGTTCATTCCAGAGATACTGCACCTCCGAGTGACATGGTGTCTTCAGCCAGTCACACCAAGGCAAGATACCTCCCTGTTCCCTACCAAGGACTCCCTTGCATAGAGATAATTTTAATTTTACTTGTTTTTTCAATATTTATTTAAAAATAGGAAAAAAGAAAGGAAAAAAGCTCTCTCCTGGGAGCATTATGAAAGAGATATTTAAAGACTGAAATGGATCTTTTGATGCTGTTATTGTTGTTACAGAAAAAGTATTGCAAATGCATTTGAAAAAATATGTATGATTCACCCAACAGACCATAATGACTATAAAGTGTTGCATAAAAGACTCTTTAAGCACTGGTTTAGCTGATGCTCTGTAGTTATACTGTGCGACTACCTTCTATAAATACAAAGAACAAGTAAAAATCTTTTCAAAATATAATTACAATGCCTGGGCAGGAAGTAATTCACCAAATTAAATGTATCAGCCTTCTCTCTTCTCCCTTTTCCTTGGATTCCTCTGCATCCTCAGTATAGTTTGAGGACATCCCTTTATCATGCCACCATACCACCAACATTCCTTCTAATTTTTCCCCATACATTTACTTAATGAATTTTGTTATGGACACCAGTATGGAGGTGGTGTGTGGCTGAGAGCGTCGGGGAGGAGGGTGCAGGGGTTTGGAATGTGGGATGAGGCTCAGGGCTGGGGCAGAGAGTTGGGGGTGTGGGTGGATGAAGGCTCCAGCTGTAGGATCTGAGATGGAGCTGAAGATGAGGGGTTCATGGTGTGGAAGGGTGCTTAGAGCTCAGGCTCCACCTGCAGAACTCCCCTCTAGCCCTCTCTTCCCACAGCAGAGAGGGGGGCAAGGAGAGGTGCCTCTTCCCACTGTGAAAGCTCCAGGGCTGGTGCCAGACCAGAGAGACACCTCTCTCACTGTGGCAGGTCTAGGACTGAGGGAAAGGCATCTCTCTCTGCTGAAGCCCTGAGCACCTGTTGCAGTGCAGCCATTCAGCTTAGAGAGAACTTAGCATATAACCCCCCATTTCTACATCTCAGCTGCAAAAACACTGGACAGAATTCTTTGGAGCCTACACACTAAAAGCTAGAGGTGAAGCAAAGGTGTTATGTGCCAGGGGGCAAAGGCAAAACTTGTGCCCCCCGCCACAGCCCCTCGAACCTGGCACATGGCTGAGCCCAACCTTGAGGGGAAGGAGGGAGCTTGTACCACATCTTCCCCCGCCCCCTCCCGTTTGGGGCTGGGTCCTCGCATGCACTAACCTGCCGGTGGAGATGGAGGAGGGTCAGGCTGGGGGTGGAGAGGCAGGGAGGAGGCTCCAGCCGGCGGGGGTGGAGGAGGAACAGGCAAGCCGAGGAATGACAGGGGGAGTCGAGGGGGACTAAATTGGTGCCCCCCTAGTGTGGCGCCCGGGGGCAACTGTCCACCTCCCCTCCCCTTGGTATGCCACTGCTAAAAGCAGCTAGCAGTTGTATTATGGTCACCATTTCTCAGGCCCATTGGAACAAAGAAGTCCCTATCGAGACAAGAAATCCAGAATTGAATATAGGTTGCCTTCTTGGCAGTAGAAAGCACTGGCACTAGGCTGCCTCCTATTACTGTTTTTTTTTTAAATATTT